GGAGACGGCTCTGGTAATAAATAGTAGTGTTGTTGCCGGAAAGGTCAAAGGACACCATGGCTTAGACAAAATCAACAACTCACTTCTGGACGGACGAGGAGACCTGATAGAAATATCGCCAGATAGTTTGTTGTTGCGGTGACGTATAGGTCAACCAGAAGTGGCTCTACAACCACTCGTTGAAAGGGCTACAGCGCCACAGGGGGAGTCAGCCATGCACCGGCTATTTATTCGATTCTCTGAACGGCATATATACTCAGACAAGTGACAGCGGTGCGTTCAGTGACAAAATCGGTATATGGCTTAATCGTATCAAGCTATCCCATGCATACATACTGATTGATCTGCTCATACCTGTAATGGTGTTTACTGTACATCTGAACATCTCTGTTTGCTGTATGTGTCTGCACACAGAAAATAGGGGCAGTGCTGTTGTCTTGCCAAATGTGTCTTTTTCGTTGATTAAAAGCTGAAGACTTTTTTATTTAAACAGAAGAACACAATGTGTTTGTTTAATTTATAAAATTCCTTTTGAAAAGTGTGATAAATTTCAAGCTACTGTGGCCAGAGAGTTTGGAGAGTATCTTCCTAAATGCATGGAGGAGGACACCAGCACCTTCAGTCTTCAATCGTTTGCACTTTGCCCAACAGTGCAGAAAACGTTTGACAGGGTGAGACAGCGAGAACCGAGGAGGGAAAGAAAAGGCAGGAGTAAAAATATATCAGCAGAGATGGAAGGTGAGCTATAACCTGTCCACAATCTGATTTTAGACCCCTTGCACATAGTCGGTAGTACAGCAGCTTGTCCTCTAAACACAAAATTATCTGATCTAGGTGTCCACAGTTGTTTCTGAAGCTTCCACAAATCACCGGTAACGTTGGAGTTGGCCCCTGTTGTCTTGTGTTTCCATAAATTAACAATCAGAGATAAGACTGCATACAAAAATAAATATTTAGTCGAAATTTGTGACTGACTTTCAGAAAGAAGGAAGTGTTCTATGGAACTTGCGAGAAAACAGGGTCCGGAACCATGTATGTACAGAAGGTCAAGTGACAGAGGTGTCAGTTTCCCTGAAGTGATGAGGTGTTTTTTATTTGAAAAGAAACACTGTTTTTGTGCTTCAGGGAGGCTGTCTGCACTCATACTCAAACGTTTCTGATAAATAAAACCAGTGTTTGCCTATTTGCAGGAGGTACAAAATGGCCGTCTCTTCCGTCTGTTGGCCAAACTGGGCACCATCAACGAGCGACCAGAGTGAGTCGAGCGTGTGCAAAGACCAATAAATATGTGGGATTTGTATTTCGGTTATTCCTTGATAACCTTGGCTTGTGTGATCAGGTTTCAGAAGGACCCATCGTGGTCAGAGACGGGGGACCGCTATCTGTTGAAGCTTTTCCGGGATCACTTATTTCACCAGGTGACAGAAGCGGGGACGCCCTGGATCGACCTCAGCCACATCGTCTCCTGCCTCAACAAAGTAAGTGAACGTTCCTCTTTTCTTCACGACCCAACTTATTTGTTGTTTCTTGTAAATTTATCACAAACGGGTAATTTTTTTTTTTCTCACTTCTCCTTTCTGAAATATGAAGCTGGTTTAAAAGTGTTTGAGTTTTCTGTTTTATTCATATCCACAAACTTCACACGTACACCAATATGCTTGGTGTACGATATATGCTTCTCTTAGCCATACAAGGTCATCTGGGGACACAGTATTTCTGAGAAGCATGAAATCTTATTCTCTGAAAACCAAAATTTTTTATCGGGTCTCAAACCCAATGATATGGTTTTCTATCAGATAGGCAAATAAGCGAGTGGTACTTTTTGCTTGGAAAAAAAAAATTTGCTGATTCATTTCCTATTGACAACTTGTATTTATAATAAATATTCTAAGAAAGATTTTCATTGAAGAAGAAAAACGAGTGATTTGTTTAAATTGCTAGTTTTTTGGTGCAACTCCTTGTTCATGGAATATACATATATATAATATACAATTGTTGACTTTGTTTTCTTCAGTTGGACGCTGGTGTTCCAGAGAAGATAAGTCTGGTGTCTCGGGATGAGAAAAGCATTCTGGTTGTGACCTACTCGGACCTGAAGCGCTGCTTTGACAGCACCTTCCAGGAGCTGCAGGCTGCAGCCTCTGGCTCTCTGTAGCGCCCTCTTTGGGCCCGGGGTGCGTTTGCCCCGACCTGGAGCACACTATTGCACTACAGCGGAGGACCAGGCTTAAAAAAGACGACATCAGCATGGCGAAGGCAGCGGGGCAGGGCTTCGTGAACCTCAGTCACATACACTGACCCTGTCCACCAGGATGGCTTTTTCTAACGTGTATTTTTTTTAGTTTTCCTAAACCCTGCAGCTGAAAATCGAAAATACAAAAGGAAAAAAGAAAAAGGACAAATATGGAAACTGTGACAAACGAGTATGATGACATTTTTTTAGATTTGGGGAACAAACCGAGAAACAAACCACGAGGTTTCGAACTTCTTTCCTGCTTTTATTGTTTATTTCTACAGTTGGGGTTTATTTTTCTGAGGAGGATGCACTAAGATTTTAATTTTTTTGTTAATTTTTTTTATTTTTATGAAATGTGTGAGTGGCCTACAGGGTGTACAGAGAGAGCTTAAGTCACACACAGACATAAAAACCAGAGCAGACTCACAATTCAAACAAACTTCAAAAAATGAAATCCAGCTTTTTAATGACTGCATCTCTCTTCTGGCTGGAGACCACACCCCTTCATACTGACGCACAAGGAGACGGGACGCACCACTCGAGGCTTTCATTGGGGCACCTGTTTATTGAAATGGGTCCAGCCCACTTTTGCCTTGGTTGTTGGTTCTCCCTCAGAAAGGACAAACCACTTGGGTGAGAGGGAAGGGTTCTTAAAACTGGAAAAAAATTTATGGATTTCTGACATTTTAGTCCAGCAGATTGTGGAATATCAGGCTCATTTGTTTAGGTGGGGGGGAGGGTGGACGAGCATAGACTGGGCCTTAGGTTTCTGGAGGTGAAACGTGGTTTCTGTTGGCACTGAGGAAGGGGTGTCTTCTCCTGATGCTGTCTACCAAGTGTTTGTTACATATGCAGCAACCACCATTGTGACATGAACTGCTGAATGATGGGTTGTTTTGTTTTGCCTGTCCAGCACTTGGGTGTAGCCTGTGGGTGGGGCTTCTGTTGAGGTGGAGCCACAGCTGCCTCTTTGTGGAATGTCCTTATTTTGTCCCCCACCCCTCCGCCTGCCCTCATCATCCCCTTACTTGCTCCTACTCTCTTCTGTCCCAAACTCTGTTTCTCCTCGTGGGGTTACGGCCCTCTACTCTTGAAAACAAAAGTGATGCTTTTTGTGAATTTTCTAGCCGATTTTTCTCTCTGCTCAGCTGTTGTGCAGAAAAACATGATGGGAAATGGGAGGGCAATTTATCTTTGCCTCAATTCAACTTTTATTATTCTGTGGACCAATTCCAGTAGGGGTTTAGGGAAAGGGGAAAGGCTGGAGGGCGAAGGTTTGTTTTAGTTTAGTTTTTAACATCATGAAATACAAACGTGCTGGAGCAGTGGTGCTGTCTGTGTCACTCACTCGAATGGCTTGGATTTCTCTCAGGATGACAAACAGCTGGAGGGGCACAATGATTGAATGTGTTTTGCTGTCATTGGCTGCCCCCTGTCCAGTCAGGTAGATGAGCTACAGTGGAGTGGGTGGGACGTCTTCAGATGGAGGTTTTAGGAAGTTTACGGCGTGGAGAGATGTGGAGATCACGCAACGAGGGATTTTCATGTTGCCCTAAAGCACAGTTCATATTCTGTTAATCCGAGTCAAAATTGACTGAATAAATTTGGTGCAAACCCACTTTGACCCAGAAAAATCAAACCCAAGCTGCATCAAACCGCCGTTGTTGATGCCTTTGTCTTGTTCTCAGTAGCTGTTGAATGTGTTCAAACATGAGACTGTAGAACAACAGGGTCGCACGTCAGATATGAGACAAATCAAGGTGAAAGGCGTGACCGAGCACAGTGTATTGGCTACGGTCGGTTTTATGTCTGTTCTGAGGGCAACAAACGTGCAGGGAGCCGGCTGTGTTAGATCATGTACTACTTCCTCTGTTCTACTTCTGAAATGAACAGAAAAACATACTTGGTGAATGTGGTGCTTTAGAAAACCCTCAGTACACACACACACAAACACACAATCCCCCCCAACTCGGCCTACACAACGTTAGTGCTCATATCACTATCTTCCACATGGTAACACACACTCCAGTTAATATTAGTGACAACGTTCTCCTCCTCCACCACAACACACCTACAATCACCATCTTAGTATGTTTTAAGCCCCTCTTGTGTTCATTGTCTCAAATTTTGCAATATTTGTGTGTACAGCAGTATTTTAATAAAGAATACCAAAATGGATACATGAGCAATGTTGTCACCGTTTTTTTTGTTGTTTTTTTTTGTCACGTTTACATTTAAAACATTTTATAACATGTTTATACGAATACTAACATTAGTATATCCATCAACCATTACATTCAAAGACACACTGTAGTAAGTATCTAATATTTTCACTGGAAATAATGTGCAATTTACATCTTGATATTTTATCAGACAATCAAACTTATATAAAAACTAAATGCAAAAGTTCAAGGATCACATGTTAATACCAAGTAAATATTGTTTTCTTAAGATGCCAATGTTTGAACGAGTGGCTTAGATGACAGTATTGTACTGGATGGATCTGTTGATATTATGTCAGGTCGCTTCAACAATTACCTCCACCAAACCAAGGACGTTTTTTCTGTTAACAGAATTACACCAAAACTACTGCACGGATTTACACACAACTTGATTTACACGGTGGGAGGATGTTGTATAGATCAGGAAAGAACCCATAAAAGTTTGGTGCAGTTCTGGATCAGATCCAGGATTTTTTTTTTTATAACTTTATTGCAAAATTTTACATTTTGTGACTTTTTCACCAATTTCCCAGAGAATAAAACAAAGATGTTGATGAAAAAAAATCCATCATATTTAAGGCACTGATATCTATGAGTGTCATTTGGTTTCAAAATGGGGAGATGCATATTTTATATATTTCTGTATATTCTGAAAGACCTTCGATAAGAAAATATAGTTCGTGTAGAATTAAATATACACTCAGTTGCCAGCACATTAGGTTTAAGCAGCTAAAACCAACAGTTTGATACAACAGCCCTGCAGTAAATCACATATTCATGAGGATTACCATTTTTGTTTTGTTGAAACTGCTTTAAAGATAAAACATCATGGTGTTAGTCATTTTGGAGGATATAGATTTATTTGCTTTAACAGTATATTACATAATACTGAGAGATATTTTAACTATTAAAACAATTTCAACGAAACTGAACATTAATATAAGTAGTTATCATTAGTTTTAGATGCAATCATTGATCTGGCACCTGAGTGTGTGTTCCGACACAGACGTGACATTTCAAAAAACAAATGTTAACAAGTGACTTCATTCATAACATGACTACAGCAATAAAATAAATATACAGATAAGATACACATACTATAATTCAGTGAGTGATAATATTTGTCCAGCATATAGTGGCTGTGTCAGAGGAACGGTTATTTCATACAGCAGTGTTCCTCTCCACAAAGCTCAGCATGAGGTACCAGTATATTAATACGCTCAGTAAATACATTCTTTATAACTGCGACAGGATAAGTGATGTCAGGCAGCTGCTCTGGTCCCTGGTTCATCATCATGCAGTTGTAGATTCTGAGAAAAAGCCAATGTACATTTTTATTTGTGACCTAAAAGAAATTAGAAGACGGGATTAATTATAGGTGTTACACTGAGGTAGTGGATGAAAGCAGCAAGTGTGAACAGGCAGAATTAGATGTGAGTGAGTGAAAAGGATGAATGTATTGACCCTGTGTGAAGTTACAATTAAAGCAGATGCTAGAGGGAGGGGTAGAGGAAGGCAGAGTTGTAGTCCGGAGGAGGGGAGCCTCCTTCATCAGACTCCCAATCGCAGGGCAGGATGGACGGCTCGTTGTCACGGAGACCAGTGATGTCACTGCACAGTAGGGGAACCTGGTTGTCCCGACACTTGAAGGTGAAGAACCTAGATTTATAAAAAATACACAGATTCAGAGTAATTCATTCATGATTCTTGAGTGATTTTCTATTTTGTCACTTATGTTTTTTTTTTTTTTACAAGATGACAAATATGCTCCTGATCAATCATCCTTCATCACTGGGAGGAGGGGAGTTAAGGGTTCAGAAGTCTCCACCTGCTGAATTTCCTGGAGTTGGAGTCGTTATTCCACATCATCTGCTTCAGCTCCTCAGATGGAAGCACCATACCACTGTCACTCTGCTCGTCCTGAAGCAGAGAGGACATCACAGCATTATTTTCACAGGGTTTCCCACAACAAGGAGATTAAATGTTCGCCCCTATTCTTTCTCTTTCATTTGTAGGATCACGTAAAATCTTGGTAGAAGGATGGGGTGACGGCCAATGTTGGCACAGATTTGTTAAAATCGGAGCTATTTTTTAGGTGACGTCAACTGTGTGTGTATATGTGTGTGTGTGTGTGTGTGTGTGTGTGTGTATATGTGTGTGTGTGTGTGTGTGTGTGTGTGTGTATATGTGTGTGTGTGTGTGTGTGTGTGTGTAAGCAGAGGTGAAGAAGTGAAGGTGTTCCTCTTACATCAGGGGTTTCTGGCTCCTCACACGGAAGTTCCTCAAAAGTCTGAAGTGTGGCCATACCCCTCATGTAACTGTTGGAATTCAGACAAGAAAAGATAGAGATTACACTTCCTCCTCCATCTGTTTCCTGTATTTACTTTCAATCATTTCTTTCATTGCCTCACGTCCTTACCTCAGGTTTGTGACTGCTAGAGGCTTCTCCATCCACGTCTCACTGCGACTTGTGTCTCCAGCCATGAACGATCCCAGAGGAATATAATCTTTACCATCCTGTTGAAAAGATGCAACTTTAGGTCCCTATACTTTGTGAGAACTTCTTTTTATACACCTTATCTAGAATTTGACAAGAAATAAATCATGATCTCGAGGGCTGACCTGCTGAACTCTTGCTTGTAACAGGTCTCCCAGCGTCTCCGACAGGTCAGTGAAGGTGGGTCGGTCTGAAGGACAGGCCTCCCAACATGCCAGCATTGTGCCGTAACTGTACATGTACACACACACACACACACACACACACACACACACACACACANACACACACACACACACACACACACACACACACACACACACACATCTCGTCACTTCTTTTCTTCCTGGCTGATTTCATATAACATATATAATATTTTTGAAAAATATATTTCAACCCACATCTCTGGTGTGCTGTACTCTGGCGCTCGCATCCTTGTCCCATCCTTCAGCCTGTGGCAGAACTCCTCATCTATGTAAAGACCGGGGTACGGGGAAGCTCCTGTCGGACAAACACACACGTCAGTTCATCAATATGTGAACACGCTCAACCACACATGACAAAAGAAACAAGAGTTGACAAAAAACCTCACAAATCATTAAAAAATGTAAAATAGAAGCCTCAAAAACACTTTTAAAGTGGTTTTGTATTTATAATGTGAGTTGTTGCGGTAAATGTTGTATAAAGATTGAATGTATATAAAGATGGACGATGAGAATAAGTAATTAAATCCAAACTTATTGGAAAAATTGACACTTGAACAAACGTCAGTATGATAAGAACTACCTAAAATGACAGAAACCATATTTGAGCAAAATCATTTTGACCTGTGCTTTGACTTTTTATTTTGGTTCATATCCCAACCATTTACATGGAGGAGGTGGGGTCTATAACCTGTACCACAGCCAGCCACACTTTGCCTTCACTTTGGGGGGATGTCATGTCGTCCATCTTTATGTCCAGTCTATGTTTGAGGACAAATGGGTGGTGACTCCTACCCAAAGAGAAGATCTCCCACAGCAGTATGCCGAAGGCCCACACGTCACTCTGGGTGGTGAACACCTTGTCGAAGATGGACTCAGGAGACATCCACTTCAGGGGGAGGCGGGCCTGTCAGCCAATCAGAGCCCAGGAGCAGGGTCACACAACATCAATCTTGTGAGGAAATATTAAAAGTCAGACTTGTGCACTCACGTCTCCCTTGCGGACGTAGTCGGGGTCTTTGTAGATGTCTCTGGCCAGACCGAAGTCACAGATCTTCACCACTTTATTGTCAGAGAGCAGAATGTTCCTGGCTGCCAGGTCTCTGTGAATACACTGATGTAGGCACAAAGTGAACACCGGTTTGAACTTTAGTAAACAAACAGATGCATGTGGACACACACTCAGAAAAGAGTCAGACCTTGCGAGAGGCCAGATACTCCATCCCCCGTGCCACCTGGAAGCTGAAGGAGATGAGATCCTCCAGGAATAATGACGCGTTGGATGCAGATTTGGGATCTAGAAGAAAGACAGCAGACACAGGCATAGAAATAAAAAAAGCTGAAAACATTTTTAAATGGAAAATATATCGGAAAATGTTTTCCGATGTGAGGTGCTTGTCTTACCGGGGTTATTTTCTTTGTTTTCCCTGTGATCAAACTCTGCCCTGACGCTGCTCTGTCCGGCACAATCACCCCTCAGCCCTCCATCTTGTTCCCCGGAGAACTGATATCGAGAGAAATGATCCCAGTCAAACCTTATGAATACATCAATGTGTTGAGTGGCAGTTTTGAGAAATGTGTTGACTGGTGTCAGGGGGAAGTTTGTTTCTTTGACACCACTGTTTTTCTGCAACCTCTAAACCTGTTAATAAAATACGGAAGTAAACGAGATAAGATCTCCAAACCTAAAACCCATTGCAGAAGTGTGACAGTATGTTTTTGTAATTATGTGCAGCACAACAAGGTGTGGTTGTTGCAAGTGAGAGAAGAAGCTGTAATGTGAGAAACAAGGCCATCACGACGCTATCTTTAAGTGTGTCAGAGGAACGACTGCAGGAGCTGTGGAGCTCACCTGGTCCTGCACAAACACATCTCGCTTGCTCTTCAGGAAGGTGGAGAGGTTTCCATAGCGACAGTATTCCACAATGACCATCAGCGGTCCTGCTCACAAAGAAAACAAGAACATGCATTAGAGGTGCGACTCGTGTAAGAGAATGAAACACTGACTCTCTCATTGAGATTTTCAGACAGACAGACAGACACACACACACCTCCTGGTTTGGTGCAGGCTCCCAGCAGGTTGACCACATTCAGATGATGTCCAATGTGGTTCAGGATCTTCAGTTCAGTCATCAGAGCTTTGTGCTCACTGGCTGTAGCGCCCTCTAGTGGACAATAAACAGAACAAAAATAAGTGGCACACATGTTCTTGTTCAAGGTTGTGATTTAGATTTCAGAGTCACGCTTCACTGGCTCCTTATTATAATAACAGCAATCGAGAGCCAGTGAAGTGTGACTCTTTCTTTAAAGTCTCAACTTTGAACTTTATTTTTCTCTAAAGGGTAATTTGTGTTTACAGCAAGGAAGCACAACACATGAGAGAACATGGACATGAACACCTCTCCATTTATCCTCAACAGTCTTTTCTCGTCAGTGTTGTAAATATTGTTATTTTGTTGACGTGCTCTGTGGCAAATTGTGAATATGAGCCATAGAAATAAAACCTGATTGATTCATCCTTATCTTGTACCTTTGAGCATCTTCACAGCCACAGTCCTGCAGCTGGTGGCACTGTCGATACCAAACGCAGAGGCCTGCATCACCTTTCCAAAGGCTCCACGGCCCAGAGGTTTCCCTGTGTGAGAGAGAGAGAGAGAGAGAGAGAGAGAGAGAGAGAGAGAAGGTGAGAGCGGCAGGGGAAAGGGAGGTGTGCGTTTGTGTCTAATTGAGCAACACTGCTCAAGCTGCTGATAAGAGAAGACTGTAAACTCATATCCACAGTCAATCTAACTGAATCCCACCCTGATGATAGAAAGAGCTGATTAAGTTCAGTCAACAGTTTACACACACACACACAGTTGATTAGCTCACCACAGACAACACATAGTCTGATTAATGGAATGGGAGTCACTCCCAATAATAATCTGATAAGACCTCTGAGAAAGTCCTGTTATCTGTCATGTGATCTTAAAAACCTCCCTTCTCTCCCATCGTTTCCATTAAATTTCCTTAAATCCTTCCTATATATAACGAGCCGATCACGTCGGTGTTGTCAGCGTCTGCATTTTATTTGTACAGAAAAGAGACACACCTAATTTGAGCCGCTCCCGAGGGAACTCCCATTGTTTGGGGTCGTACTGCAGTCGCTCACACTGCTCCTGGATGGGTCCTTCTCCTGTGTCCAGGATGATTGACAGGTACTCGGGCTTGGTGTTTGAGGCGTTGGGCTTTAGAGAGATTATTTCATAGAATAAATAAAAAGATGAACAGATGTCAAAACAAATGTTATGATGAGAAATGTATAACACCTCAGTGATTTAAAGATATCTGTGACATTCACACTGAAAATACATCATCGGTGCATTCAGGTGCTTGAGGTAAATCCCAACGTTTAAGAGTTATTGTGCCAGATTACAAACATGAAATCTCATCTAATGTTGAAAGATAATGTGTTGATGTGTATACAACATGGAAGTGACTAAATGACTTAAAGTTGTATTATTCTGTACAACCATAAATTGTGCAAGTTGTACTTGATATATAAATACACTGTGTAACCTTGGTAACCACACGTATCCTCTCAACAACAACGTGGTCAAGGAGCTATTACTCAAGAGAAAAAAAGAGATGAGAGGAGGAAGCACGATGTCAGAGCGGAATGTTGATCTTGTATCTTCCAGCAGTCGAATCATTAATGACATTATCATAACACATTTACAGAAAACAACTGGTTCTTGTTTGCTCTCACCTGTTTGAGTTTCCGTATAAGGAGTGTGAGCAAAAGCCAGAGGAAAGTGGCCACCACACACGTACAGGTGAGAGTGGGAATCTCCAAAACTGAGCTTTCTGAGGCACCTGCACAAAAACACACAAGTTGCTGATGAACACAAGTTGAGCTGGGATAAGTTGGTTATGTCTTGTTTTTGCACATTTTATTTAACATTTATCTTCACTGACTTGATTTTGACTGTTGAGGGTTTGAATTTTGTTTTTATTTCCTTTTCCCATCAACATTTATTCCATAACAGTTTTGAAATCAAATGGAACAAAATCAGCGACAGAAATCACAACAAACCACCTCATTAAAAAAATATTTTACTGTATCGTAATATCACTCATGTGCCTGCGGGTTTTAAGTTTTCTCTGTGCTTCCAAATGGGGGCACTGCGTTTTCACTATCGCACCATGATCCCAAAACAAGACCATCCATCCTCCTCCTCCTCAAATCCCAAATTAATCTTGAAGAGAAGATGTAGAAATGCCCAGCGCAGAGCGGAGCCTCTCAGAGATGAAGGGCCCGTCCGCAGGAAATAAAAACGGGAGACAGTCTCCTTCCTGACTGATCAGAAAATAACAACACACACACACACA